TCATCTATGTGATATACGATCGCGCTATTTAAATTTCCATGGTTTGAAAAATGTCAAAGTACAGAGAGGATACATGTAAAATTAAAAATCTTAAATTTTTTAATCTAAATTTTAAATTCTTGAATGTAATTTATGGAGAAATGAGGTCAGGAAATAAATGATACGCATAGCTGCATTATTCTGATAATATATAAAATATATAAAAATATATGAAAATAATTTTTTTAAATTGATTTATACTTCTAAAACTAAATTTTATAATATTTTAAGTGCTTATAGAAAATACAAAAAATTAATGTAATCTTAATTATATATTTTTGCAATAAGTAAGTACGTGTTAAATTATATAAATAGTATAAATCTTTTTTGTAGGATAATATTATATTGTAAAAAAACATCCATACGTGAAATTATATATTCACCATATTTTACTGCAATGCATTCTCATCTGTTAGTTCATTACGAGCTACAACGAAAATGCTTTAACTTAAGCAACAGAGTGCAAGTATTTTGTACCGTCTACCGTATTAATCAAGGGTAGCCCCAGCCAAAGGGCGAATCGGGACCGAAGGGCGCGATCCGTTTGAGGGGTTGATGCGTAAAGGAGGAATATACGGTTTACCAGCTAGCGACGCCAGTATCGATCAGCCGCACACGCGTGTAATTCAGCGGCGTCTGGATATTCGACGACGATTCCTCTATGATTATCTATCCAGTTTATACTTTCATTCTATATTTTGAAAAGAACTCAATGCAAAAGACGTAGATAAAATATATATTTTGCTTACAAATACATATTACGTGTTTCCTTAAAGATTTAAAATTACACAATTAAAAATTATAATTTTTTTAATACATCACAGTTTCTGTTATAGAATACCTAATATCTATTATATCCAATACTTATGAGAATGCACAAATTTATATTTCTTATTATTAAATAATTGCGTATATAATATATATTTAGAGATAAAAATGAAAGTATTAGACAGAGCAAATTTTATCAAGCAGATTATCTGTATTATTTATCTGTATTAAAAATGAGACATGACAAATTCAATTCAATAAGCTCTTTGTTCGTCTTATCAGAAAATATTCAAGGAGCGTTAGTGACGTATACTAAACATATTTGTTGTATATTGAGTGGATAAGAAGACGATGATAAGGGCAGGCACAAGTACTTGTATTATATATAACTATAACGTATTTATTAGATATACCTGGAATCACGATACAGAGAGAGCGGGAATGACACCTGCTCCTACGAACGTTAGCTCCAGACTCTCACGTCAAACGCGAGATCGCCGAAAACCGGAGCATTAACCGATTGTAGCGGCATGCTTATGCCGATCTTACGTACCGCGAGGGGTCTCAACTCTAACGCTAATACGTGCGCAACTTAACATACATTAATTATACATCAATATTAATCAAATAAAAAATACATCTAATATAGTTTATATAAAAACGCATACATTTTAATTTAAAATTTTGCAAGTATGAAAAACTTTAAACTTTTATTATTTAGATTTTCCTTAATTTCTGGGTTGAACACGTGACTTTCATTTCTCGATAGACTTCTCTTAAGACAACGTTGTTTTATATGTAGCAATAATCAAGAGATAAATATCCAGAGGCAATAATCAAAACCATACAACAAAGTTCTTTTATTTATTCATAATATTTAAATAAACAAGCATTCCTAAATAAATATTTGATTCGCTAATATATTTCTTTATCATCTCAACCGACAGTGATTCATTTTATGTGTATGTCGCATTATTGAAAAGCCGTTTTATTACTTTATGCTACTAAAATCTGTGTAATATTTTAGTTTTTATTTATTTATATATATTTCTATACATTTGTTTATTTATTCTTGCAAAAAATTGTAATAAATTTACGACGTATAAATGCACATAAATCACATCGAAAAAACATCACTGAACCCTTTTTTTAAAAAAACAGAATCAAATTTAGGTTCACTATTAATGCAAACGAGTACTATCGGCTGAAACGTTAATTTGACGGGCAAAACATGTCCTTCGTACACCCAGTCGGAGGTAATTTTATTGGTAAACGGCCGTCTATCATCCATGACAGTTTGACATGCATGTGCGTCGTTGAAAGATCATACGTGAATGATAGTCTACGTTCGTTATTATTGCGCTTTCGAAAAATAAGAACGGCATTGTATAAACGATCGGGAATAGAAAAAAGCCAGACAAACGGAAACGGGAGAGGAGCAATGAAAAAAGAAAAATCCCCGACTCGCTGAGCTGCAATCTGCATGGATTATTGGGTTCGAAGGGCTTAATGCACAAAGGCCGCCCAAGGCTACTGGTTGCAGGAAAAGCGAATGTCGGAAAAGAGAAAAAAGTGTCGCATCTCCAGGATAAAGAGATGTAGCTTTTAAATCAGAAATCCAATGTAATTTTGAAAACAATAAAACCCCGCGTGAGATCGATCGCCGAAAGTGCCATGGATGTTTTTAGCTTGCAGCTATTTCGGTTATCACTTCATTTGTTCGTAAAGCAACGAGTATCGCGATAAAGGAGATTAACGAGCTGCGATCCTCAATGTACATACATGAACGATGTTCAGAAACATCGTTCTTATATCATGCTAGCTGTCTGCACCGAGACATTCAATCATGACGTTGCTTTGTATAAATTGCACGGTGACACATGTTCTGTGCATTTATTGCTTGACACGCTCTATACATTATAGCTGCATACATTAAATCCAGTATGTATACTGGAGAAAATTTAGAATTTGATATTTATAGTACGTGTTATTAAAAAAAGTTATTAAAAATGATTCTTATTAATAATAAAAACATTTTCTCACGTATTTGTTAACATATCTTTAGACAATGTAATAAATTTATATGTATATTTTGAATATTATTATTGCAATACATATTTAATTTTTTTTTTTTATTATTTTTCAGATATAAACATGACTGAAATATTATTTATATATTTGCAAAGAAAGAGCTCGTGTAAATTGCTTTATCCTAATATCGTATTTTCCCCATATCAAACACATTGTCATCTATTTCCGATGTGATCGTGCACGTTTCAAACAGGTTGGACGTAGGCTACAGCATTTCTTTTGGGACTTGCAATTCCCAAATGTAATTTCTCGTGCTTTCAGGATAGAAAAGAAAGGTCCTAAACGAACACGAGAAGTGCTGGTCGTTTTTAAATAATAATATGAAACACAAAAAATTAATAATAAAATTTAGTTAATATTTGTTTATATTTTTTAACTATTATATTATTACAAATATTATTTTTCGTTGATATTTAAAATTTAAAATTTAAATATAATATAATTTAAAAAGAATAATTAAAAATCTCTTTAATCAATTTCTTTTGAAATTTTTTTTACATTACAGCATTGTCTATAGTAACATTAAAATTTCTTATATGACCACATTTTACTTTTGTTGAAACGATTACCATTCGCAATTCAACACTTTAAGGGCCATATTTATCTGTTATGCTATTTGCAATGTTTTCAATAACATGATTTTGACGAAACATTCTTTATTGTTGTAGTATTCTTGTTGTCTAAAAAGATTAAATAAACTTAGAAACGTTAATAGATTCTTCTCTTTCATATGTGAAAAATTTTTTACAGATTTTACACAGTGCTACATTAAAATATTTTGAAATTTAAAAGTATGTTTTAAAAAATATACGTAACACTAATACTAACGGAAGAGCATATATATAGACATATTAATTGAAATGACAAAAGTTTTATTTTTACATTTTGAATTGCAAATGTACAAAGCCATAATATATTTTATAATCAATGGTTTTTGCAAAAAGTATTTAAAAAAATGTTTTTATTAATTTATTATTTAAGACAAAATTTAATAAATTGTTAGTTTAAATATTTATTAAATTTTATATTGAATTTTATATTGAATTTTTAAAAATTTGAGTTCTGCCTTGATATTTCTGTGGAGTTACCTAAAATATAAATCAATAGATAAAATTAATTTATTAGTCATATTCTTGAATTACGTATATCATATTGATAATGTGAGTTTCATTGTTTGCTTCTATCGCATCAGATTAATAAAAATTGATTGAAAAGAGCAAGTAAACTGTGATTGTGATTGAAAAAAGCAAGTGACTTTAGACAAATTAATATGAGAAAAAATGTCAATTTTGTCACCTGCATTTACAGCTATTAATTATTGCAAATAATAGTTTTTTATTAAATAATAGAAGTATAATTTAAATACTTACATTTTTCCATTTTACAATAATAAGTATTTTCTTTCTCCATTCTTTGCTTCAGTGATGATGTTCATCTTCTTCCGGTTTCGGTTTGTAGGCACAGAAGAATGTTATGCACCAAATGCAGAAGAGCAATAAAAGCAACAACCACGATATGGAATTGAATCTGTTCCATCCAAAAATGATATGACGGACTGATTTAAATTGATACTCATTCAATTTCGCACGACAATTTGGTGCGCTATTCCGATTGTCCGCCATCGCCACCGTGTCAAATATTCTTATGTTATTCGGCAAGTGATGAAATATGCGACATCAACGAATTGACTTACGTCTGCTTGTCTGATAAACGAACCACCTACACTAGTAATAAAATAAATGAAAGTGGCTGTTTCATAAATCAGATTAGATTAGATAATATTTCTTGGGAACTGTGAATTTTCTGAGAATATAAAACGGAAAGATTAAAGTACAGAAATATAAGTTAAATTATTAATTCGGAACTTGTTTGATTCAGATATAAATAATTAATTTCTAACGTTTGTTGCTATGTAAATATATTTGACGCGAGATGCTGTTACGTTTTCTGACTGAATAAAAAATTACTATATTGACTAATAAAAGTATTTGTACAGGCATACATACATACAAATATAGCAGAATATTATTACACTATTATTAATACACGTTATTAACCGATTATTTTAATAAAATAAATATATAGTTAATTAATGCATCTTATAAATGATTGAAATATTATTAATTCAATATTTCAAAAATCGTATATACACTTTTTGTTACTGTTACGAACAACAATCTGTATTATCATTATTAGTTTTACATACTATACAATACACTTTTTGTTACTGTTACGAACAACAATCTGTATTATCATTATTAGTTTTATCCCATGAGAATAACCAATATCCGAGAGCTGTTCCAACTCCTATAGCAATGCAAAGCCAATAGTTGTACGTCATAAAAATAAACATGAGAAAATAGCCGAGCACCACTTGAATCACTTGCAGAAACGTTTGAAGGAAATGCACTCCGGAAAACAACAATGCACTGTAATAATAAATAGCGTTGTAAAATTATAGACACTTCACAGAAATCGTAAGTAACATTCACACGTACTTTCTCGATTTCTTCTGCTGGTTCTTCCTGAGGAACGTCGTGTGCGCGAAGAGATACTCACTGTAATACACGGATGTACGTGACTGATCGCCCTCACACGATTTACGCGTTTTAATATTTACTCACCGATAAGATTTTAGACCTTCATACAATGCGGTTAGAAGAATGACGCCGATTACGGAACCGACCATTCCCTGCGCATTATCTATGCGCCAACCTTGGAACAGAATAGTTTCCGCAACGCCGCCGTGAAATGACATCTGGAAAGTGGGCGACCGTTGTAATTACAATAATTACAAACACAACGAGAAAAGGGTTGACTTAGATTGCGTCACCAACACTTACTCCGTGCATCTTGTCTTAAGATATTACCGGTAGATACTTTCGTAAAAGACAGTGCGTGCTTTATGATATCAACGTGAAAGAAATTTTTGTCATACGTTATACAGCTGTAATCTTTATCAAAGATATCTTATCTCATATATCTGTACTTATACCATACTTATACACACGTGAGAAGTTCGAATTCAAAATCAGAACTTAAAATTTTTGCATTAGGTTAAAATCAGTTTAAAAAACTATTTAATATAATACATATTATTTCATCATTTTATTTCTACTCCTAATTTGAAATTAAATTTAGTTTAAACATTTATTACTAAATTTTAAAACAGTTTCTAATTGACTACTATAGAATAAATAATTTTGTGTAATTATTGTAATAGAAATACTAAAAATCTATCGAGAGAACATTAAGTTATACTTTTTAAATTGTTCACAGATTATATTTAACTTTACAGAGAGCGCAAAAAGTTGTTTACACCATATCTAATAATAGCGTGTTACATAACTAACGCCTTTTTTCTTTTCTCTTGCATAAGAGAAGGATTGTAATATCTCGGAAGAAATCGTAAAAGTTCCATATATCCACAAAATACAAATATTTTATTTTTATATCAGCTTTCCTACGTTCTGTAGAAGCCTTAAAATGTATACGACGTCACCAGGTGTGTACTGTGTAGTTACTGACTTAAAGAAAACAGATAAAAACGAAGATGACAAGCACCATCATGAAGAGCGCCTTTATTTAAAAAATACTGGTAGTTAATAAAGTAAATTTAACAGAAATATCATAAAAATTATTTCACAAAAAGAATTTCGCAGGAATCACATGTATAAAAACCTAGGCTAAGATGACCGTAAAAAACTGCTTGAAAATAACACACATATTGCAATATTTTGCGCAATTGGAACGCAATTGTGTGGCAAGGTCCGTGGTATTGCTCGTCCACACACGTTGGGCGAAATCAGCTTGCGAACTCGGTCGCGACTATATAAAATATAGTCGCGATCGTCGGCAAGCCAAATCCCGGCTCACAATTGTGAAAGGGCCAAAGAGTCCTAGATGTTAAGTAAATCGATTTCTCTCGTTTCTCTCCCTCTTTCTCGCCAACTTTCTCCCTCGTTGGGGTGCATACGCCACCACTACCACCCTTGCCGCCCGACGATCAGCCAAGATGCCTGGCCTGCGTGAACGAGACGGGCGCAACCTGTGGCTGATCCTGACCGGCGCGCCTCCCTCCGGAAATTCAGCCACGCTCTCAATCCTCAAAGCGCTTCAACTCAGTGCCATTCTCACCGTGCGGCCGTTTGCATCGTCAGCCTCACGCCGAGGAAAACCCCGGCTCGCCGTGCACGACCTGCGGATCGTCGTCGTCGGCGGCTACGGCAATGCGCGTCGGATGCAGGTGTCTCGTTGATGCAACGAGGGACAAATCGCGCACGGAGCGCCGCGACGCAACCCCTCCGGGGATGACCGTGAGCGGCACGGCCGTCCTTACCGAGCTGTCGTGGTGAAACTCCAGTTCCGACGATGCGGCGATTGCGAGTTTAACGAATTATTTATTCGCGCACCCCTGCGAACTGCCACGAAGTGCTAAAAATGTGCAGACGAGAAAGGAGAGAACGGCTGGACCGCGAGTGAAGGAGAACTGCGTTTGTCGATGAAGGATGCGCGATTAGCGACCCGTCCGTGATTAGCTGCGATCGACGGCGAGGGTTATCCTCTTAAGAACACGAATGCCGTGTATATATTGCTGATCAATGTTGAATGCAATCAGAGAAATGTGAGTATTTTCTTTCTGATTCGATGTTATTGTCGATGTCTGATTGTCGCTTAATCATAATTGCACGCGAGATAAACATAAAACTGCGATATATGTTACGTGAACACAATAATTGTACAGATACGATAGAATAACTGATCAATAAGTGAAATGTTATCGTAGACTCCGAATATTGCTTGCATTTCTCCCTTATTCATACTAAATATCAGCAATTCGCTTATTAGCATTTTCATTCAGCTGTGTCTCTCATCAAATGATTGAGTAGGGTCAATGTTCTGTCACGAGGTACTGTGTATATTGCATGTTTTACGTACATGCATATACGTACGTAGAGGTGTGTATTTGCGTACTCAGCATCCAATAAAATTGAAATAAAAATTGTATAATAATTCGGCATTAATTTATTCCTTCTAATTTTCTCGTTTTTATTAAGTGTCACGAAATAGATCTTTGTCCATAATTAATTTGTTTCATTTCTATTAAATTTTGTAACAAAAAATAAACAAAATGTAAATAAGATATTTATTAAATGTGATGTAGGTTTTATTATAAAAGATAATGAAAGAAAGAGAAAGAGAGAATATTATGAATTAATACGTAATAGATATATTTTATAAAGATATATATATATAAGATGTTTATATTTATTAATATTAATAAAATACTATATAAGTAAAAATTTATTCACATTCAATTATATTTATAAGATACTATATAAGTAAAAATTTATTTACATTCAATTATTATAGGCAATGTATTATAAACAACATATTTCAGTAATATTTCTTAAATATTCTATTAGTTGAAAATATTAATCAATGTTAAGAATAAATTAATGTATTAAATATTAAGATTTAATTTCGTTTAACATAATGTACAGTGATTAGTTTAACTTTTTAATTTTAAATTAAAAAATTTATAAATGTATTCATACTAGAGAAATGGAATAATATTATCACAATGAAACGTAACATTTCACAAAATGCATTTTCCTCTATGATAATTAACTTCTCTCCAGAATAAAGAATGTAATTTATTATTCTAGACATAAAAATTTCCTATCAAAAGATCGCTCGTCTAACAAGTCGGATGAAAGCCATTATCGTTACCCATTGTTCATAATGATTGGCGTAAGTCGGAGTATAATTGCTCTTATACCTCTCGTAGAGGTGAACATTGATACAGTGCCGTACATCCATCTACGATAACTAACTGACAATTCAAAATATTCGTTCTCATAATCTCGTTCTTCATTTGCATGCATATCCGCGCAAATAAGCGCCATAATTGCGTTTCACGTTATTTACTCATTATGCGACTAAATGCTAAACATGTAAATTTGATATAAATATCACTTTAATGCTGCGGATTATGGAAGCTATGCTCCGATATTTAAACAAAGAAAAAACGCAGTCAACAAATGAACAAATCGCGCGTATTCTAACATAATAAAATTATGTTATATACATATATGCGAGAGTTATTATATATACGCTAAAACGTGTTATTACACAATAATGTTACGTAGGCGAAACTCATCGATGTTGGAAAAAAGTTCTTCTTTGTAAAATGTTTTATTATAAATTTTCTTTCTATCACATCTGGCTCTTTTATTATGAATAGATGTTCATTCTGAAAGTATTGATCCAACAGTGAAGCTTGACGAGAATAACTCTATCCCTATTATTATCTGCGTAACCACAATCTTATTACATTTAATGACTAAAGAAATTATAATCACGCACAATACTCAATTATGTTGCAGATTATGTAAATTGATTGGACGTCCAGTGACTTTTGGCAAAGAAAAACATATCGTCATATTTAAAGTTTATCAACGACATGGAATAGAAGACTGATGTCTATAATTTGTAGAAGTACATCTCTCATCGTGAGCTTCTTTAACTTGTAATTATTCAATCTCGCTTTACACAAAGACACGTATGTTCGATTCATAGAAAGAAAAAAAAGGGATAAAACCTTCGAATAGCAACGTCAGAGTGTATCTATAGCTTTCTACTTTTTGAAAATCAACATCATATACGAAGAAAGTACTAAAATGCTATTAATTTTTTATTAATCGATGTGCAATACCTCAAAGAAGACAGGTTCGAAACGCGGATCACGTTTGTCGACCATTTTTACACGAGACCTTTTACTGCGCCGAAATAAAGCTGAACGTTCATGCCGGTAAACGCAACATATCGTAATATCGGGACCAATGCTATCGACATAAAATACTTGTGCATGTACGAGTGTGCTATGCCGACGTAAGAAAACTTAACCGAGTCACGACTACTGAGAGAGAGTAGCTCGATATAATTTTCGACATGAACATTACGTTCAATATAGGAAAAGGGCTCGATCGATACCATCGTGAGACGGGGAATGTCTAAAGATGGCAGAAGGTCTATGGCTCCGACGTTTATTTTTCAAATGTACGATATAGAGTATAGCGATAATTAGCGAGACGCCAATCAGCAACAAACTCGAAGCATGTCACCCGACAAACAAAAGCACTTCGAAAACAAAGGGGAAACTTTCTTTCGCGCGTAACTCCGACTTTGCCGAGTAAAAGAGGTCGGCCGGGGTAGACGAGAAAATAGAAAAGCGGAAGTAAAATGCCGAAAGGAAGTCCAGGCAAGGATAGCAGCGAGAATATTCAATTGGAGCCTTTGTCTAGGACGCCGAGGCGCAATGAATCTACCGACCCTGCGGAAATAGACGCGAAGGCACCGTTAAGACATGCCGCAAGAAAGACGTGCGATTCAGGTACGTGTAACATTTTGTTACATTAAATTTTTATCTTGCCTTGCAAAATATATGCTAGATATACTTATGTGAATTGCATTATGCAAAAAAGAAGAATATGGAATGTGATATAATTAATAAGGAAGTAATTTTTAACGGAAAGACAAGTAAAAAAACGTACAATAAATTTTATTGATTGGCTGCGTAGTTCTTGCGCGAAACTATTTCAGATGAAAGTCAATGTACGCGCGCGTCTTTATTGATTACGGAATTTAGATCGTAAGATATTTGGGGTATTTACTTAAATTGTGTTCCACTCGGATAACTCTTCGTGTTATTCAAATTTAATAAATTCCATCTAAACGGGAATGCAGCTCAGGTATAGATGTTCAGATAAAGCTCTCTCGATTCTCGCGTGACCACATAGATTGGCATACATTCGAAATTTGCACATTGTTGCCCTTCGTGACTTGCTCGCGCGATGCAAATCCAACTTTAGAAAATCTAAAGATAGTTATAACCTCAGGCGGAAGAAGGCTTTCGAATTTACGAAACTTCATATAGTAGTTTAATACATCTCAATTTCTTCCCTTATTTATCGCGTCCGCGTGTTCAGCCGATTATCGGAAACTAACAGTACGTGTCCCGAAACTAAACTGACCGGAGGAAAAAGGTTGACGTTTATAACACTGATGCCAGCCGATCCTTACGGGACACGTAACTTGGGCGAACATATTGCAGCCGGAAGCGCATGAATGTTTCAATGCGTTTCGCCCAGAGTCGGAATCCGTTTGACCAGATACGACATATATTTTGAAGCAGCGCGAGATTCGCTGCGACCACGAAATATCTAAATAACTTATGTTACACAACGCCTCCCTTTTTCGCAGTCGAGGGAGTCTCGCTGTAACAGCGAGGACAAAATGTTAAAGGTCACAAGTTCAAAAGTTCAGCCATTTATAAACATTCCTTTTCTGTCTATATTCGTCAATATCAAAATTAGTCAATGCATTATTAACTATTAAACTGTGTCAATTCACAGATAATTTCGCGAATGTATTCTTGGAGAGAGAGAGAGAGAGAGAGAGAGAGAGAGAGAGAGAGAGAGAGAAACGCTTTTCTCTAAAATTTAATTTATAAAAGTATATAATTATGGTTTTGTCTAAAATTAAATTTTCGACAAATATTTTTGTTTGTGTCTTTGTTAAAAATAAATTTATTTTATGTTAATAAAAATTACATTGCTTAGTTATATCTTTTTTAAAGACGTATAACTTTTTATTTAATATTTTAATATAAATATCTGCTGAATAAATCGCAACATAGTTCGTCAGAAAAAGCTTTCTCCTTCAATAGAAGCACGAATGTTATTTCGTAAATGAACGTAATGTGATTATCAGAGGGGCTGCATGGAGAAAAGAAAATCGATATGGTACCCCTCGAATAAACTGATCCATTCGCACAATTCGTCAGCGATTCTGATCTCAAAAGGGTCACATCTCATGTGGCACACAGCTATTGTATACATTTGCTTTCTATACACTGGAAATGATATTCTACACTGCAGAGTTTTATCATTTATTGTTATATAAAAAATAAGAAAAATTAACTAAATTTATATATAAGTAAAATATTAAATTAGTTTATGTATTATTATATAATGTATAATAAAATTTAAGAAATAATTTTCACGATTTAGAAATTGTAATATTAATAATTTTTGAGTTATAACTGACTGAAAATTAAAAAGTTTTAACAAGATGTGAATTTAAATGTAAATTCTCACAGAATTAGTAAAACTATTATATATGTCATAAATATCTGGGGATAAGGGGAACATATAGATATCTTTCTTTTTCAATTTTGGCAAAAATCTATAAAAAAAAGCTCTTGCAGAATTATAAATATTTGATACCTATATAATAAAATCAAACTGTTCTATTAATTTTTTTCAAAATTCTTATTTTAATGGAACAAAGAAATAAAAAGAAGTGATAGGCAATAGTATCTTGCCCCGAGAACCAAAATTTTTATATCATGCTTTCAGATGTATTTCTTTATTCAAATATTAATTAAATTTTTGTATTGCTTTTGTCAATCAAAGTAAGAATAGTTTACTAATTAAGTATAAACGATAAAAAAAAGTGTGACGTTAAAGTCATCGTCGCGTCGGGTCGATGCAGCTTTGTAATATTAAACAAGCCGAAGTGAAAAGTCATAAATCCCCTGCATTGTCCGGTTGACTGCTCTCGCGGCTGAGAGACCAATATCATGATGGGCCACCAACGGAGGGGTTGCAAAGCATGGATCAGGGATGGCGCCACCGTAATGCCAACCACCCCCAACTGACGAGGACCGGCAAAACCACCCCCGTAAAGCAGTCCGCCACCAGGGGGTTTGGAAAGCCGCCATTTCTGCCTAACTCCGCAGTAGCTATATCCCACACCTTTAATGCCAATGAAATGTCAAGGGGATGCCGCGCGCTATAGACACGCCGACGGCGTCGGGCTATTCGGCTTGAGTTTCATAAGCTCGCGGTTCCTCGCGGCAGGGTCGATCGCGGTCGTGCTGCAGGCGGTGGTGGTGTTGCACAAAGTCCGGGTCCCGGTTGTGCTCGGTGCGCCCGCGTTACGCACGAGTCAGCGCGTTCACGCCGATTGAGTGACGCCGACCGTTCGCGCGTCGCCGCTCGTGTATGGTTCCGCTGGTGTTGCTCGCTGGATCCCACGCGTTCGTATCTCATGCTTGCTATCGATTGAGAGGATTAAGATTGCCGACCGTGGCCTACTCGAACGTCTAAAAAAAGAAAAAGACGCAATCTAGTCCGGCCACATTGCTGCATTTGCGTGCAGCGAATGATATAGAAAGTCTCGAGCCGATAGTAATTGATACGGCTCGAATGACCGCGCCGGCACACGCGAGCCGGCTTCGCGGTAAATTAAATTCCAAACGCCGTCTACCGAAGTCGAAATTCTCTCTCGTTGAGACTTCAATCTTGAGACAACGGTACAGTGGCGAAAGTTCGGTCAAGGGAGAAGCTACGAGGCGACGATCAGGCGTCCGCGCAAATACTGGCTGAACAGAGAGAGCCGCTCATAAAAGTCGCCTATGCCTCGAAAGACGGTCAGGTAAAAGAACTCGTTCATCGGAGACCGCCGCCGAATCGGTTCGCGATGAGCGAGCAGGATGTCGACGATGTTGCTTTTCTGACAGGTGAGATCTCCCTATCTGCAGGTGGCTGGTTAGGGATAAGAATACGATCGCGTGCCACCGACGCGTTCTCTTCGACACGATACGCGTCTGCTGTACCTAAACAATTTCTTTTCCATAAGAACGGCTCGGTCAGATGGCCCACTTACAGCCCTTTCGCGAGCTGCGAATAGACTATGAAGCACGTGTATGCGATCAATAAAACGAAAGCTTCCTCCGATCTTTCGAATTAAAGCGTGCACACTTTGTTCTCGCCCACGCGCTTGTATCGCAATCACCTACTGACGGCTTTTGTTATTAAGGTTTCGTTATTGACAGCGGAAATAGATACGTTGACGAGTTGATAATGTTGTTCGATGATTTCATTGCGCGCATGCATCTATATATGCACGCGATTGTATAACGAAATATATTTGTAAAACATATTTTGTTGCAAATTATATATGTTACAAATGTCATGTAAATTATACAAATTGTTTATTTCTAAGACTTATACATTTATAGATTTACAGATTTTATTTAATTTTTTTTGAAATTATAAATTTTAATATCTTAAATAAACTAAAATTAATGCATCAACGTCGTAGAAATCTTTAAGAAAAATTTAGTATTAAAATAAATTTTTTTGTATATCTTGCACAAGATATCTTTCACAATTGCAAGAGTATTACCTACAAGATAATAAAGATAATAAAGATAATAAAGATTACGTTTAAATTGAAGATATAATTTTTTGAACAGATTATAGAATGTATTAAGAGACATAATATATTCTTTAAAATTTCAATTTTTTTCAAAATCAAATTTTTTAAAAGAATTATTCTAAATTTAAATGTTGCAAAAATAAATATATTCTTTTTCTATTCTGTTGCAATGTAATTATGTGCAACTCATTTGTATACAAAAGTCTATCAATTTAATAAATTATAATATATTTTCCTTAAATTTATTAAATTCTATTAACTTTTAATAAAGATATAGGAATTGAACACTTATTTAGTCGCCTTAAATATAAATAAAAATCCAAAGCTTAAAAACTGTATCACTCGAAGTAAAAATGTTATCATTCCATTTTTTGCATAAGGCAAGCGCATTAGATATTCTGCATAGTTGTGCAGCAGTCCAAAATCCAAATAAAGAGTATAATTATAAGAAAAGCAAAGTTTTTATTAAACACGCATCAAAATATTAAATTAATAATTTTAAATATAATCTATAAATCAAGCCAAATAATACGCAAATAAAAACATATTTTTTGTATATTTTTATAAGATGGAAAATTATCTTTTATATGTACAAAATAATTAAAAATTAGAAATATATATGTATATCTATATTTAAAATTATTTATCTATATTTTGTGATTATATAAATTTGTTATCTCGATTTGTTTCGGAAATGAAGTAAAGCTAAAGCTGATAAAGAAAGAAATTTGATTGGATTATTTATTAATAGCTATTCATAGAATTTACATAACCAGTTGAAATTAATTACACTAATTAGCTATAAATTACGGAACAATTACGAAATTTATAACAAAATTTATACAACGTCACGTGATATTGGAGCAAATCCTTCTACAGGAAATTCTTGTTTTAGGAGACAGCAGCGCAGGATTGCACAGACGTAACTTTTACGAGCGCGCAAATGAAGTCGTTAGATGTTCTGAGAGGAAGACTTACTGCGTACTTTGTATCTGCTGCATGGTACTTCTCATTACATCACTTATCATCGCCTTGGCACCTTTGCGAAATGGTATTTAAATGTCAAACTTTTCCATTTTGAACAGGCGTTTCTGCATAAAAATCGCATTTGTCATGGTTTATTTCGTATATTTAATCATATGTCTTTCTCTTTTTAGGCTGCGTTTGTTCTGAAGAAGACGCGAGTAAGATCATGGCCGATGAAATGGACGCCGTGCCTCGGATGGAGAATGGAGAGGTACGTACATTTGAATGCATGTAAAAATCTTATTAATGTTAATAACATTTAAAAAAACAAAAAATTACATACATCTTGTTTACTTTTAAAAAATTACTCTATTTGATTTATTGAACTGTATAAATTTACATTTTTTCATAAAAATCATAAAATATTTAAAAATCTATTTACCTGTGAAGAAAGTAGAAATTCAAAATTCGATTTAAAATATTTTTAATTAAAATAATGTTAATATATATATACATATGTATATATACATTACATTAATATATATACATATGTGTGTGTATATATATATAT